AAAAACGCTCGCAGTGCACGCCGATTGCCCCCTCGGAGACATCGCGTGCATGCTCTTCGCCCAAACAAACAACGCATAGATCGCATGTGTCATCAGATGTCAAATAACGAAAACACGGATGCACACATCCTCTAAATGCTTTGCTAGTGCTCGCCATAATGATATGAATAGAGATCGCTTAGTTTTATTAATTGATACATTAAGTATCATTTGCACCTTTTTACAAAGGTGTGTTTGAACTAAGAAACTGATGTTTCCTTCAGGCTGTAGATCTGCGTAATATCAAATGGTACCATAGCTTAATGCTATATTTCTCTTCTCTTTACTGCCTAAGCATTAATCCTTTTCCTATACCAACTGTACGTGTGTGTGTAGTCCCTAATCATGCAGATTTTTGCTACATGCTCTGAGTAGTATTGTACAGTAAGAAAGTTATTTCCCTTAACCAGGAAATTAACGTTCTTAGAATTGACAGACAGTTGACCCTGAGAGGTCAAGTAAATACTTACAGCGGATCTAAATATTTATAATTAATTATAACTAGTTATGATTAATTATTAATATTTCCCCTTTGAGCTGATTCTCTACAAGAACATAATGATTTAATAATTTATTTTATTATGATATGAAACTGTCGGACTGGACTGTCTGTGTTTTTGCTCCCAGTGACCTAGTTTTTCCCTTGTCTGATTGTGTTATCTGATCCACCTGTGTCTTGTTAATTACCTTGTTATGTTATGTATTTAAAGTGTAGTCTGCCCCATGTTTGGTTGCCTGCCCTGTGTTACCCCTTGGATTATCGTGATTAAAGAACTTATGCCGAGGTCACACTGCACGATTTTAGCCCGATTTTTCACTCGCCGACAGGTTTTGCGAAATCGCCGACGCAATCTGAGAGAATCACAGACACGTCGCTGACACCCGCAAAATATTTGGCATGCTAAATATCTGGAGCTGTCGGCGATTCACAATCACGCAGTGTGCAATGATTTCTGACTGAAAACTACATCGGCGATGACCTACAGCCAATGAGAGACCAAGATACAGGGCAGAGGAATGTTCGGGGAGGAGTTATAGAGCAGAATATCAGCTCACAGACAATTTGCGGGCTATACATATATATATATTTTTTAAATAATTACAGTCTTGCTGGCGAGAACTCCCGTCTGACGCACGCGGGTTCTCGCGTTATTTCCTTATCAGTTCTCGGGTGTGTTTTGTTGTGAAACGTAGTTTGCGGACCAGATAGAGCTGTCGGCGATTCTTCCTATTGTGAAGTCATGCAGTGTGAATCCTCCTGTCGCCGATCCATCGTGCAATGTGAACACAGCAGCAACTGAATGCAAAGCCAGATAGTCACGCAATGTGAAAACAACGGCGATCCGACGAGTTTGAAAATCGTGCAGTGTGAACTCGGCATTAGTTTGAGTTTACTCCTCGTCTCCTAGCTCCTCACAGTAGTGCAACCCTGACAGAAACGTCCAATTTTTCTTTTAATAATGTTTTTTAAAGTTTTGCAAGATTTTTCGTAATACTAAACTTTTTATTAGTTGTCATAGCAAGTGATTTTAAAAGTAGGATGGCTCACTTTTTATAAGATGACTGAAGATTTTACTTGAATTTTCTTTTTAAAAACTTTATTCTTACTTTTGGAAACCTAATTGTTTTATAATTACTATTTTTTCTGTTGTTTCAAGAAGTAGTAATTTTGATAATAGTCAATAGAAAAAATATAACCACACACACATTGTTTGTCCACAGAATAATTACACATTATTAAATTAAAAAGCGTCCCCGCACGAACCTCTACCTCCGCCAGCAGGACCTCAATTTCAGACTCAGTAAAGTTTTTTTCTTTTGTGCTCGTCATTCTCAAGCATAGAAATTTAGATATTGGCGTGTGCTCTTTTATATGGTAATTATATTAATTAGGGGGCGTTTACAAGGCGGAGATCTGACACCAGTCAGCTGCGCACAATTTCAAGATCATTTGCGATTTATAAATGTCACATCTGGAAGAGAGGCGTACGCACGTGTTTTTGTGCGCACGTTCGTTTTCTCTGAATCGCACTTAC